TTCATCTTCATCTTCATCTTCATCTTCATCTTCATCTTCATCTTCATATTCATATTCACCTTCGTCTTCATATTTATCTTTTCCTTTATCCTGATCTATATCTTCATTCTTTTCTCCATTTACGTATTTACCCCCACCATTGTTATTAGGTTAGGTAGTTAAATTTTCCTTCCTCTTTTTCTTTACATTGTTTCTTTAGTGATATCATGTCATGTGTTGAAATTGGGTGTGATGAGTTGCAGTAAGGTGGAATTGGGTGTGGGAGTTACGGTGTTATGAATTCAGGTGTGGTGGTCTTAAGAGGTGTGGTGAATTTAGTTGTGGTGAGTTGAGGTGTGGTGAGTTAAGGTGTGGTGAGTTAAGGTGTGGTGAGAAAGTTGAGGTATGGTGAATTAAGCTGTGGTGAGTTTAGATGTGGTGAGAAAGTTGGGGTGTGGTGAGTTAAGGTGTGGTGAATTAAAGTGTGGTGGATTTAGGTGTGGTGAATTAAGGTGTGGTGAATTTAGGTGTGGGGAGTGAAGTAGTGGTGGATTTAGGTGTGGGGAGTTAAGGTGTGGTGAATTAATGTGTAGCGAACTCAGGTGGAGTAAATTTTTAAGCGGAGGTGAGATGAGTTGAGGTGAGTTAAGTTAAGTTAAGGGGTTAAGTTAAGATAAGTTATCTTTATCCTTATCTTCATATTCATCTTCATCTTCTTCCTCGTCTTGATCTTCATCTTCTTCTTCATCTTTATCCTTTCCTTAATCCTGATCTAAATATGTCCATTCTTTTCTTCATTTACATATTCACCCCCACCATTGTTATTAGGTTAGGTATTTAAATTTTCCTTCCTCTTTGTCTTTATATTTAGGTTTCTTTACTTTTATTTTAATTTCTGTATTTATCCCTTTCTTCTTCTCCATACTCAAAATTATCTCATCCTTGTTTGAGGCTAATCTATTCATGTACATACATACATACATCTTATTCCTAAACTGCTGCTTAGCACGTTTCTTTAATTCACTATCAATATTAAAGCATACATTTAGGAGGCATTTCCGCCCCAACCATGTACATGTATGGCATTGGTATTGGTGTGACTTTTGAATTGATTTTTTCGCTCTATTTTAAACTAATTTGAAATTTTAAAAATTGCCTGCACATCAGCATCAAAATACCTTTCTAATGATATATAATTGTTTATACCTTAGAAGTACAGTTTAGCCGTAAAAGGGGTGTAAAGGAAACATGATTGCCTATTTATATAATTGATTAATAATAATAGATTGGCACTCGAAATGTGTTAGTGCTTAGCCGAGCTTCTCCTATGCCTCGTCCTTCTCTTTCGTCCGGCATGGGCACAGATGCGCCAAATGTTGAAGAATCCCGCTTTGATGCGAATTGTGGCTAGAAGTTCGTACCGGGGTTAAAGCCAGTACTCGGCGGCGGAGTCTCTTTTCCACCACAAATCCAACACCGAATTTGCGCTGCTTTACATGGCAACTGAAGTAGACATCGCAAGGCTCCAAGCTTACCTTGCATTGCCCCGTCCATCGAATTTCTTGAATGGCAGCAATGCTAAACTTTGTCTTCGCGAGGACATCAACTAGCCGGCCAAAGGCACCTGGCCCATTGAGGGTCCGGACATAAAAAGAAGGGGGTCTCATCCGAGGCGTGTTTTTTTTCTCTTATTGGGCGAGTTTTTACGTGGCGGGATCCAAACCTAGCGCACGCGAAATTTTATGCCTTCTCACTTTAGCTCGCCCCTAAACGGGTATTTGTTCGCTAGCCAGAGTATACGTGGATATAAGTTTACGGACGCAGTGAGCTACGATTTGAACCGTAAGCACAATAATCACTTCTGGCTACTCCCAGGTAGAATTGGGATACTATCGATAGTACCGCCACTCGATAGTTTTCGAAACGATAGTTCTAAAAATCATTAGAATCGATAGTACTAGCGCACAGTGCTGTGTCTCCATATAAAAAGTGGGCAAAAATAGAATAATGGACGGATTTGAGTAAAAATTCGTTTCTTGGTGGACTAGAGTACGGAGATTTCAAAAATCATCAATTTTTTTTTTACCTAGCTCTTACATTTTTCATGGAAACTGAGATTGAAACTGCAAAATTTGATATTCAGAAGTAGTTCCAATACTGAGTAGTTATTTTATTATTTATACAGGACGTTTTCCTAATAATATTAAAGACTTCAAGGCTTCATTCTATGGCTTAATTCATGGCAAATAAGATTCCCTATATCTCTCTTATGCAAACCCTCTAGGAATGGCAGCTACTTTCATTTTGGTCCTTTTTGACTACAAAATGTTTTTTTAAATTGATTATATCTTTTGGTGTGGATGTCACACGAAAATTTGATTCATTCAAGACGACATTAAATACTCAAAAGACAAATATAATTTTGTTTTCCAGTTACTTCGCACGAACAAGAGTTGTTGCAAAATACTGAATCAAAAATTATTTGTTTTATCTAACGCCGTTTATTGAAAAATTAAAGTCATCATGCAGTCAAATTCCAAACTACTCAGCAAACACACTAGTTCATTGACCATATATTTTGTGGTGTATTCATACATGAATTGTGGTGTATTCATACATGAATTCATTAATGAATTTCGGGTTGAAATGATATTGATGTATATATTGACTAGTATGTCAACTGATATATTGCTGATGCAGAGGCTGACTAGTATGCCAACTGGTATAGTGCTGATGCAGAAGAGGACAATTGCCATCTCGTAGGACATCGCCGTGTTAAAAATACCAGTTGCTTATATGGAAAAAATTACAGAACTCGAACTAGTTGAGGCCGTGTGGCTGACTAGTATTTGATTAGTATAAAACTAATTGAGTTGACTGAAGGGTACTTATTACTTTTAAGTTTCTTCAGCATCGACTAAATACTCTTCCAGCTCGTCCATTGTATAAACTGCATTCCTTTTAAAAACCACTTCAGGATCTGATGATATTGTTAAGTATGACATCAAGTCTCTGTTTGTATGCTCCCGAGCAGTTTTACGTGTATGATCATATCGTACGATACGTATGTGTTTATGTAAAGCTTCCAGAGCTTCCTCTGAAAAATTGCCTGTGGGAATAAATTCGTAGTAGTAAAAAATGCCGAATAGCAACAAATCGATTTTCTTACCAATTGGTAGATCGAAATACTCAATAACCCCATACCCATGCATCAATATTTTATGCACGCTGCTAGGCATGTAGTACCATTCGTATTCAGTCAAATACATTGTTCTTGTCCTTATAAGGAGCTCTCTAAACGTGCCGATATTAATACGCATTCCACACGATATTAGTCGCAGTATTATTGAAAAATTTTGAATTAGCTCTTTATTAATGCCGGTAATTTCTGATGCCACTTCTGCATTTGAAAAAAATTTGCGAGCTGTGTTGCCATCATTAGTTGTTCCAAATCCAGTCTTTACTTGGTCCCCTATTAAGCCTAATCTTGTCCTAAACTCATTTTGAATCCTAACTTTATTCGCAGAAAAGGCGTCTTTGTTTTCTTTGCGAACTTGCCAGCATTTAAATGTTAAACGGTATGCGATGTGGAGTAAACACTCAAAACATCTAATCCAAGCATGCAGTGTAGACAACCCATACTTGTAATGATTAGCGATTGGTACTTTTGTAAAATTAGTAACATTCATTTCGGTCGGTTTGGCATGGCAAATAAAACAGTTACTGGAAGCATTAGTGCCAGTCAAAATATTGGCAACAGATCCATCAATCATGGTGCAATGCATTTGATAAGAAACTTGAATCCCTTTTCCGTTTCGTATTACAACATCATCTTCTAAGTTCTCAATTTTTCTCGACATATCATTATATTCGAATAGAACTAGTTCGCGGTTTTCCTTCTTGAAACTAAACTTAATTGGACGACAATAAAAAGACGATGAGCATTTGTTATTGGTCCATATATTTTTGTTGGATGACAAATCAATTAACCCCTAAAAAAATATTTATTTTTTAATAACTTATATGGCTTGTCGAAAAGATATAAGACCGTCATATCGCAAAATAGCTAATCGAGTAAATTAATTAATTCAGACCAGCCTTTTGCAAAATAATACTGTAAAAAGTTGTCAATGTAAATTAAAATGCCATTTACTGATCTAAACTCGAATTTATTTTTAAAGGCTATTGAATGTTTTTGGAAGACATATTAGATAATTTTTTGTTACCTCAGAGGGACTAGCGCAATGATGAACATAAACTCATCCGTTAATTTGTCGTCACCAAAATTTTGCTTATAGCGGCTATGCCCCGAACTTCCATCCATGCCCCACTTACAAACCAAAGAAGCTTTGGTTATGTCACCATTATCTGGGCTTAGTTCTAAAATACTTTGCGTTGTTTTCAGCAATAATGATTTCAGATCAACTACGGCTGAATATTCAGTCGATTTAATCGTTGGCAGCAAAGTTTGTTTTTTTGTTTGCAATGCGTTTAAGCTCGGTATACAATCTTTATGCAACCGGTTTATTTTTGCACGTAAACTATTATATTTACGATCTGATAGGTTCAGATCTATGTATAGTGCGAGTGAATCAGATATGGGCAAACCTTCGGTACTACTTTCAAAACATTCAACTTTGCTTGCTTTTTTAATTTTTTTTTCAAAGCATACTCGAGCTCTTCGATGGAATAGTTTTTCAACAAATGCTCTACCCTTCAATTTTTTGTTCTCCGTCAAGCTTTGCAAAATTCTTCTTTAGAAGGTCTTCCCCGGTCAGCACATTTATCCTTATTTCCATTGGAATCCGGAAGGGAAAGGAATGTCCAATTTAGCCATTTAGAATATGTTTTTTCAAAAGCGCTTCTTTTGCGACCACTATAATTCCACTTATTTTTCATCTCACTATTAAAAAGTTTTATTTTTTGATTCAAAAGTGCTTTGTCGCATGCGTGTATTAATTTGTCTTCAAATAATGCAGATAATGCAGACACTCTATCTGATGGACGAGTAGAAATCCAGATATCAGCTAAATTGAGTTTTTTATAATTGAATTCATATTAATATTAGTTTTTTCACTATTTTACGCTTCACTACACAGCACAGAACACTACCGCGTGTGTCTACAGTAATAAACTTTACTATTTTTAAAGAATGTTTTGGCATTTAAGTAATGGAAAATACTGTGGTAACTGTAATCAGTGAAATTTTTTTTTTGCAAAAGTTGATTTTATAACCTTAAAAAAACGATTTTTTTCGAAAAGCGCAATGAGTCAAAGAAAAAGGCCCCTTCTTTCAAATAAAAGGATAAAAAAAAACATACTTTTACATATTTTTTTTTTATCCCTTTGTAAACTTAGGAATTTTTTAAATTTTCTGCAACAAATTTTAGGGTGTAGCAAATAGGCCATTCCAGCCAGGAAACTCAATATTTTGTAAAAAGCTCTATAGAGTGGTTTCCCTAGAGATTTTCTAACTAGAAAAATTGTGTCTTAAGATAAAGTATAATAAATTGTATTTTTAGCAATTTTTTTTTTTAAAGCCTCCAGCTAAAGGCATTTTCATAAAAGAAAAAATATATAAAAAACACACAACTTTAAGAGGTTTTTGTGAGAACCTTATGAGATAAAAACAAAAACTAAGTCCAGATCCTTAATCTAGGATAAATTTCCTTTCCAACGATACCAAACACGTTGACATACGTGACAACAATTTTTCTGATTTTTGCCCGCTCATACAGCACTGTGTATCGTCGTGAAAGGTATTATTTGAAATTAAATAATTAATAATTATTAAAAAATTTATAAATTACTTTGTAAATTAAAAATACTATATGCATTTTTTGTAATTTGAGTGCATCAAAAAGAACTTCTTATAATAATAAAATAAACTTATTAATTTATGCGTCGGAATTGTATATACGTATATACATACACTTGCACCCACTTGAATAGCGACAGGCAAAATCGGAATTTATTTTTTATATGGAAAAATCTTAACATTAAATGGTGCATCATTTTGCAACACTTCCGCGAAAATTGAAATTAGCTCCAAAAATCATTATTTGCATTTGAATTCATTTATGAGTTTTCACAGTCTTTGAAATATGTAGATAAAAAACATTTCCATTTCCCTTCCCGTCAACGCTCAAGTTTACTAATAGCTTATTTTCTCAATACTTATTTTCAGCAAAGGCAATATACCATTAGCCAACTCTCAGCCGCTCTTCCCGCACTCGTACTTTTCAAAAGCGTTGACTGATTAAAATTGATGAAAATTTCCGACTGTGCTGGAGCCGCACTGCTATTGCCTCGAGCATCTGCAAGTGTCATTGCAATTAAAAGCGCTTAATTGCGCTACAATGAGGAGGAAAACAACTACAATAAAAACAACAGCGGCAATTGTTGGAAAATAAACCACAACAACAACAAGAAGAGAAGAAAAATAAAATAACAGCAAATGCAATTGGAAATTAGGAATAAAGTGAAGGGCAGAGCAAAAAGCAAGCGAATAGTGCCGGAAAAGTAGTGTGACAGAAAGTGAAGGGAGAGAAGTAAAAGAAGAAGGAGAGTAGTGGGCGTGTAAAAGCGTCAGCTAAATTGGACAGTTGAACGGTAAAGCAAAAACGGCGCAGCAGACGTGTAGACGCCGCCATGTTGCTGCCCACATCGTGCGGACCAGGGCCACCGCTTCCGCCGCCACCTCCACCGCCGCCGCCGCCGCCACCAGCATCATCAGCAATGCTGGACGCCCATGCCAGCAAACGCCATGAGTCACAAAAACGGGTGGAAAGACGTGAAAATTGTGAAAATGATGAAAATGTGAAACAAAAACAGCAAAAGTCAATAGTAGGTGGGGGCGAAATAAAAATGAAGGGAATGAAACTAAAAACTGCAGCAGCCAGAGTAGAAACAGAGGAAGAGCTATTGGCCGGCAATGTTTTGGTTGAGAAAATAGCATTCAAGTCAGTGGGTATAGGCGAGCGCAGCGTTGCTGTTACTGATGCTGATGATGATTTTAGCATAACAGCAACAACAGGAAATGCTCCAGCAGCATCAGCAACAACAATCAGCAATTGTGTTGCATTTATTGAGAAAAGCGTTGTTGACAAAAGCAAAAACAGTTGGTCAATTTTAAAATTACCAATGATGCTCACAGCAGCACTGACAACAGCAACAAAAACTCTAACAATGCCAGTGGCGAAAGAAGCAACAAGAAAAATTGACTTGAAAACAAAAACAGCTACTGACAAAATAATAATAACAGCAGACAAGAAGCGGGCAACAGTTGGCATTACAACAACTGCAACAAAAACATCGGCTACAAGCTCCGACATTCATGTAAATTCGGCCAGTTCAAAAGGTGCTGCAAAATTAACAACGCCAGCAGCAGCAACAACAACACCAACTACTAAATGGCTGCTAATGTGGCTAATGGTTTTTACTGTAATGGCCCAAGCGCCTCTACATCAAGTGGCTGCCGAAAAGAGCAAACACTGTGAGTATTCAAACATTTCAATTAACAATCAACAGAGATATCTATACAAGTATGAGTAGTAAACTTTAGAATATAAGTTTGTTTTGAATTATAAAAATTTTAAAACATAGAAAAAAATCTAATATTAATATTTTAATCCATTAGTGATAAATTACAAAGTCCAACAAACTTACAAAAACTATATAGGTATTATGAAAGGAGATGTATTCGTGACCAACTTTACCGAAAACAGCACTAGATGACAGGGTATTCGTTTTTCTTTTGTTAGGAAGGATTAAGGTTTTGTCATTCCGTCCGAAAGTGAAATTATTGAGAGACGAGCTGAGAAATTGAACGTTGGTTAGCGCGGAGTTCTTTAAGCTTCATTTCGATGTATTTTCCATGCAACATGGACCATGAGACACCTCTTAAATAGGCATTGCTTCTGTGAAGCCCTTCCATTCAGTGGCATCAATTTTAGTCAAAATTCTGAGGCAGCTGATTGATTTGCACACTTATTCATACATAACGACTTTACTGTAGTGGTGCCTTTCTGGAAATCGAAGGTCCTTTTTATAATTTTCTGCTAGTAGAGCTGTGTAAGAGAGGATGTCTGATGATGTGTAGCACGCTGCATTTTTGGAAAGAGGAAACTTTCTGGATACACTGTATTTTCTTAGCGAACTTCTAACAGTGGGAACGCTGTAAACCCTAACAAGACGGACCACATCTAGTTCACGTGACTCTTCCGGCAATTGGACGCTGTCTTCCTGTTGATTTTTGGCATAGTCAAGTTCTTGGACTTTGGCTATCGCGAAAGCCTAACATTGGCGAAAGACTATAGAAGGCATCTGTGTGCCTTAGAGTAATTGACGACTAATAGCACCCTTACCCTAGCTCTATGATACCACAGGAAAGCTGCCAATGTTTTATCCTGTCCGCATCTATTGCAATGCACTAAAGAAGACTACGCTTGTCAGAAAGCTGGAGCGGGTACAAAAGGTCATCCTCATTGGTAGACAGCTGCAGAAGTAAGACTTAAGGGCACTGGGTGCTTAACTTACTCAAGATAAGGATACTTTAACAAACCTCGAAGTTTCGATTTTATCCCTGATAATGTGGATCTCATCGAGGCTAGACTGGCGCCAATCTAGTTTCTTTCTCTACTCATGTCTTCACAAAGATCTGTACATAACTCACCATCAACCTTAACTGTATGCTCCTTATGTAAACTCGGCAAATGCTGGGCATGAACAGGGCATGATCTTTCTGCCCAAGATGACCGTTAGACTTACAAAGCCTCAATTCTCAATTCTGGTGGTGTATTGATAGGCCCCATTGAGATTATCGCGGTGAGACTACATAAAGGAACGGAATACTCATAGTCGAAGCTGCTTGGCAGACGACGGGGTGAAGTAATGTCAACACTTCTACCAGTTTTTACAAGTCTGTGGTCCTGCAGCTGGGAGGAGCTTTTTAGGATCAACATTTGCCGCAACCTTCTTTCGCTATAACTTAGCAGTTATCCCGTTTGTCTTAAAGTTAAATTTGGCAAGAAATGGCGGAAGTTTCTTACAAATATTCCTCTACTACTTTGCCTTATAAAGCAATAAAAATCGTAAGTCTTCGTGTAAAATATAGAAGTACTGGGCACTCTGAATTTGCTCACCTCCTACATAAATTCGACAATAAAATATATGTATATACAAAGGTGGTGTTGGATTTTAAAAATCTAATCCAATATGTGGTGCGATTTTTTTTTTAATTCAACTTTTTGCTCGACACTTGATAATCTGGGAGTTTACGGCGTTGCTGGATTCGAATCTGGTATAGAATTTTATAATTTCAGAATGACTGTTCCAAGATAAAGGACGATTAACTTTAAATTCAACATTTTTGCTCGAAATTGGAGACTCGGAGCTTTTCGGGATTTCTGAATTCAAACCAGGTGTCAGATTTTAAAAATTCTAAATGGTGAATCCATATTTGATCTACCATTTATAACGGAAATGTTAATACCGAACATACATACGTACATGGCGTATGAGTAACATTCTCATCTCATCAGAGTAACTCATACGCCGTGTACGTACGTTCGATTTTAACTTTTCCGTTATAAATTGTAGATCCAACATGGATACTCGTACATATAGATATGTATAAGCTAGAAGGCATAATGCGTTTTTATTTCCTGAAAAAAAAAAATAAAAATAAACAATCACATTTTCGTAGGCAGTCAAAACAAAATAAAAATAACAGTTGTAGATTTTTGCAAAAAAAATGAATATTTTAAACTACTGCGTGCTTTTATGTGCATATTGACATTTATTCACCCATTAGATATGCATTTTATGCGGCAAAATATTTATTGCTTCTAAAAATATCAATAAACTTTCCACGAATACACGTGTATGATAACAGATAATCAAATTTTGTTTACCTTTTTCTGTCAACTCAACCAGAATGTAATTGACCACACAATTTTCAATAGATATCAATAAAATACATATAAATTTACATATATGTAGCAAACGTGTTTCCCTTAGCAAATGTATAGCCGCCTGACGGGTTTGGGCCGCACCTCACCAACAATTTTTTTTTTTTTTAGTTTTAAGAATAGCTTTGAAGGAAAAACTAATTTTATGAAAAGTAAAGAAATGCGAGTAAAATCAATGTTTAGAAGCGTTTAGCTGTTAGTTTTCATTTAGCATATTAGGCGCATTAGAAATATTTCACTTTCAGTGCATCGAACACGCGACCTTCGAAGTATTACCTAAACATTTTGCCGCAATAAATCACCGTCGCCCACACTTATCCCTACAAAACCAAGTGGAATTATTTGCACAGTTATTTAAGCAAAAATGTAGTATGTTCATATTTACACACATACATACATGCATACGCCTCAATACACCTGCCGCAGTCAATTTCCATACATAAATATTTTTGCCGCAGTTTCCCTGTCAAATTTAGCAAAATATTCGGTGAATAACAAAAATCAGATGTAGGCAAAAATATTTACAAACATAACTACTCATTTGTAAATACACATATGTACATATATATGTAGTTGTTTTTTGGCGAAGTGATACATATCGCACTAATATGGCATACAAATGAGGCACACATAACGCACGTTTAATAATATTGAGAACCAATCCAAAATTTACGTTTTTTGGGATTTAATCATACAACTAATAGGCCCAAGATACCGTCAACTATCTTAAGGAATCCTAAAGGGCCTTGGTAGTCGATTTCCTTACTACTACATGTTTGACCATTGCGGCTTTAAAATAAGTGAATCTTTGCCTACCCAAGGCAAGGCAGTAAAAAAAATGTGTTCGGAAGTATCCTCGTCCTCAAGATAGATCTAGCATTCTGACTCTTTGATCATACCTATACGGTGCATGTGAAATCGCAGTCGCTTGTGATCAGCCATAGCCATCGTCGAAAGTCATAAAAAGTCAGCGCATGAAAATGTCAACGATTTGATTCTTTTATGATGAATGTGCCCAAGGAGTAAGTAACGAAGCGTGGCAAGCTTGGAAAATTGGGTAGAGATAGGTAAAATAAGGATAAGCTGTTTGACATTCCATCAGTTTTTTTAAAATGCTGTTGGGCAAAAATCTGACCTGCCCTGGAAAGAAACACTAAAATTCTAGATGCAATATCTAGTTAGATTATACTACTCCTCGATTCAGCTTTGATAAAAAATTTTCATAGCAAATCTCCGTGTAAAAAGCCTGATTCTAGTTCCATTTCAATCTTCAGTGAAGGCTCTAGAGCATGATGTCATAAGCTTGCGTATACCGGGGTATGGCAGATTCTTTCAAGCGGAAATAATAAGTATCAAGAAGATAGCGCTCTGCTCCATGAACTCTTCTGTAATAAAATAGGTACTCGATCACCGTCCATGCTTACAACGAGGCTGCGATTTAACGGTGCAATAATATCTCTTCGAAGGTAGAAATTCAACGTAGAATGGTTCTAAACAACTTGGCCATGCAATGCACTGGGTTCCCAGACACAGAAATATTCCGGAAAAAAGCATTGCGAAGGAGCAAAGAATTCTGACCAAAATGCCGGTAAGCAAACTATTCCAAAAAAAACATCATTCAAGAGGCCAATAGGTCCCGGTTCGACGAGGGCACTTGTAAAGCAACTAGGCTACTACGGCCGCAAATTGTCAGGAAAAAAATGGAAGAACTGTTCAGCCTCTCAAATGAGGACATTTCGAGGTCATGGCTTGTGTAACCGGTCATTGGCTATTTGTTAGGCACGCCCCGAGATTAGGAATATTCTCCCATGAATATTGCAGAAGTAGCAGAGACAAGGAAGAAGAAGAAACAGTTGAGCATTTCTTCTGTAGCTACCCTGATTTAGCTAAGAGCAGAGAGGGCTTTCTAGGAAGGCACTTTTTCGGCACTCTAACGGAAATATTTGGTGTAGCAATAAAACCAATCCTACGCTTCACAAGAGCTTCTAAATGGTTCTATGCAGAATAGTCACTGAGGCTTCCCGTGATTCACAGTGGTATCACAATGGATCTGCAAGGTCTAAGTAAGACTGCCAGAAGTGGGATGGTTTTATCAATGGATACTGTTCAGTGGGAATATATGGAGAGCGTAGGAGTGTATGACTTCTACCGCAGTTGCAGGTACGAGGAGAAGGTAAAGAGCTTAGAGCACTTTCTCTGCCACCGCAACGCCAACATAATTTGAAACATCTCTATTACGATTTACCAGTGGATTTACAATCCTTGAGTCCTCTCTGAGAAAATAGGTGGATCCTTTGCACGGGAATGTATATGGGGCATACATCGGGTTACGCTATTTATATAACATATTCAGGCGGAATCGGGGCCCTCAACATTCCGCACGGAGAGTGGCAGTCAACGTTACTTAAAGTAACCTATGTTAAATCGCTGCCGCGAAGTATTACCCGTAGAACAAAATAAACTTTGCAAAATCTTCACTGACCATTTTTGCTTCAATATTTTTTTTATTCAATAACAACAAGGT